ATCAGAGATGTGCAAACGTGCTCTAAACAGAATAAATTTGTCATTTTGGATTCATAGGTTTGATTCCTGGTATTCCTGTTATATACCTTGTTATTGAATGCTTGTAAAAACATTACCATAGAAACTGTTTGCATATGGAAAATGTGTCCATTGAATTCAGCCTTATCTTTGCAGTTGGTTTTTGGCAGTTCTTAAAACAACAATTATAGGTTTATAGCAAAACTGATTGAATTACCTCCAACCCTTCAATTGTTATCAATTGCTTGTGAAAAAAAGTTACAGAAGACCCAATTTGCATGTGGAAGGTGTGCCCACATGATTCAACATGAATGTTGCCTCATCACTGTGTGTGGAAACCCAACTTTAGCACCAAACGTCAAGATACACAACTTAAAAGAAGTGAGATGGGTTTCTCCCCAATAAAGCTCATCTCTACCAATTATGACAGAAAATAAAAAACAGTGTATACACACACTGCAAAAAAGAAAGATGAGACATCCCAATGTGTATAATGTTATATAAATGTATTTGTTGTTGTCCCAGTTTTGACAGTCTTTACTTGCAACTTGTCATAAACAATACACATTTTAAAGAGGAGCCATATGCAAGGAACGTGTTTGCTTACAAACAGCAAAAGATTTACATAGGGCAACAATCCCCCAAATGAAAAAAATGGTTATTTACTGCATGTCTGTTTGTGGGACTTTGCTGTGTGGAAATTGTCTGCTGCATTTGCCCACGAAACACACAGGTCACTACGATTTACAATATAACCTGGGAAAATCTTTGGGACACCTTTCTGCGTGAAAGGTACAACAACAACAACAACAACTTGCATTTATATGGTGCCCTTCAAGCGGGGAGGTGTCCCGGAGCACTTGATAGTGGCGGAGTCTGACACTGAGCCAGGGGGAGCGGGAGTGGGGAGGTGACTGTAAGCACGATCAAGATGAAAGTCTTCAGTCGGGATTAGAAAGTGGTGAGGGAGAGACAAGGTGGAGGGATTGAGAGAGAAAGTTCCAATTTTTGGGGGTGTAGTGGCTGAAAGCATGGCCACCGATGGTGAAGCGGGAGGGGACAAGGGACAAACAGGAGCTGGAGCCAGCAGAGCGGAGGCAGCGTTTGGTGGAGTGGGGGGGGTAAGCAGGTCAGATAAGTAGGGAGGTGCAGGGGCATGAAGGGATTTGAAAACACGCGAGAGCATCTTGAAATTGATCCGTTTCGTAATTGGGAGCCAGTGGACACCATGACAAGGACTGGTGTCAGTTTGGGTACGAGTTTTGTGTGGGTGAATATCCGAGCGGCAGAGTTCTGAATTAACTGTATATTGTGGAGCTGGAGAGACCAAATGAGGAGGGCATCAAAATAGTTTGGCCATAGACCCACTTCCATCATCCCTCACTTCCAGGCTGTTAGGCTTACCCTGCCCTGTGGCTCCAACCCACTCTCTACTAATTCCTCTGCCCTCCTCAGTCGCAAGGGCTTCCCGCTCCGCTCTCCTCACCATCGCTCCATCCTCTGTAGCCGCTCTGCTCCCCGCGGCCGCTTTCCCATTCCTCACATCAGCTTTTTCTCTTTTCTCTGCTGCTTTCTCACTTTCCTTCACAGCAGCTTTCTTCCTATTCTCCACCACTTTCTCTCCTTCGGCCATCACTTTCTCACCTTTCATCTTCTCATCACTGCCAACGTCCATCTGATATGAAAGGCGCTATGCAGATGTCATTTGTTGTTGTGGTTGTTTCTGCAGAAGCACTGTTCAGCTTTGCCTTTACTAGCTTTCCCTCTCCTGCCACTGGTTTCCCTCTGATGCTCATGAGGTGGATATCTGACACATGTGGAAACCCATCACAATGCTAAAGAGTACCCAAAGCAAACTGAGATTTCCATGCATCCCAGAAAATCCCATGGAAATCCCAGAGATCGATTGTTGGAATGGAATGCACAATCTCTCCCTGGAGGGGCGCATCCTGTTTACCAAATTCCGGAAAGTATTAGATGCAGTTTGGCAAGAGCCAAGACTTGAGCACCCGACATTGTGTGCTATTGTACCGCTGGAGTCTAACCAATTAAACAGAATAGCTTACCATTGCTAGCACTGTCTGGCAAGTTGTCTCTACGTTTTCCAGGTAGGACCACCCTGCTCTTTAGAGCTTTGGTTAACAGGAGCTCAGTGGGATGACACCCTGTGTTAGGATTTCCGATCCCCAGGTTCGAATAATGACCCGACAATCCAATAAAGGTGTAATAGAAGTTTTATCAATCAAAGTAACAAATACAAAACAAGCAAAATACTAATGCCACTACAAGTAACAAAACGTATACTACTGGTTTCGGAGCAGTCAGTTGCAAGGATTTTATCATGTCTTCTCTCCGCTGCAACTGCTAATTTACTTGCTTAAAGTTAGGATAGTTATATTATTAGCCCCACATATCCTCCCGTTTGATCCCCCAATCGGGGGTCTGCCATGCATGTCTTACTTGTATTAGTATCCTATCTGTTCTTTGCAGACAACTGGGGTCCCTGAGTAAAAGCAGCCTGCTCATTATTTGCCTTTGTCACTTTTCGGTTGGACTATTCAAATGCCATCCTCGCCGGTCTCCCCTCCACTATCTTTCACAAAATCTAGGTCGTCCAAAACTTTGCTGCCCGCATTCTTATCTGCACCAAACTCCACTCCACGATAATCCCAGTCTTTGCCAGACTGCACTGGCTGCCTGTCCCAGAGAGGATCAACTTCAAGATCCTTACCCTTGTCGTCAAATCCCTCCATTCCTCTGTAACCCACTGCCTCTATGACCTCCTCTCTCCTCACAACAGTGCCTGTTGCCTTTGCTCCACTGGGTCTGGCCACATCCTTATCCCCCAAATCCTCCACTCCACCATCGACGGCCATGCCTTCAGCCATTACACCCCAAGACTCTGGAACTCCCTTCCTCAATCCCTTCTCTACCTATTTTCAGTTCTCGGTGAAGACCTTTCTTTTCAATCGCGCCTTTGATCACCTTCCTCCCCCTCCACCTGGCCCGGCCCTGGGATCTGTTACTGTGAAGCACTCTGAGACACTGTCCGGCATGGAGGGCACTATATAAATCCAAGTTGTTGTTGTTGTATTTCTTAGCTCGTGACAGGTTGTTTTTCTCCTTCGAAGGTTGTTGTCTATCCCTGACTGGTAGAAACAATTAGATGGACTGACATGTGTTTAAAGAGGACTGGGTTGCTTTACTTAGGTATGTTTATAGGTATGTCGGTTTTCTACGTTATCAGCATGTCACAGGTTCTTCTTGTATCGAGGAATCTAAGGAGTTCAACTGGTGCTAATCATGACAGCCCGTTCCTCTCTCGAAACTCGTGTCTTATCTTGTTCCTTCCATTGCGACTGACTGACCATTAACCTTTAGAGCTAAAACAGCTTATCAAGCAGATTCCTAACATTTTAGTCCTGGTCAAAATGAAGAGTTTCTAGCAGTTTCTCACAGTTTCTATCTTACCTTGGTGCTACAATCTTATTGTTACATACATGGTGAATATAGATACACACATATATATATAGTTTCCTTTACTACAACTTTCCATAATATTATTTCAATATCAACCTTTTCTAAGACCTGCCCCAGCGACTGGTCGGCTCTTCCAAATCCTGCTGATGCGCCTTCCTGGCTGGGCTATCATCAGCAGCGCCCTGGAATACCGTAAACTGATCTGGATCAGGAACCGGAATAGTGACCGCCAGAGGGTTGGCTCAATTCTGACATTCCATTGCAGTTCAGCTCCAAGAAGATCCCACTTACTTCTCTCCAAGGAGGATAGTCACTAGCTTCAGAGTTTCCTCTTTAGGCCATGAGCGTGTGAAATAGGTATTAAATGAATCCCAGCGTGGAAGAGTTCTGCTTAACAATTAATAATAATAATAATCCTTGCATTTGATATAGCGCTTTTCACGTCGGGAGGATGTCCCAAAGCGCTTCACAGAACGTACTGTAAAGTGAATTGACTGTATATTTGTGGGCGAACACGGCAGCCAATTGCGCACAGCAATGTCCCACAAACAGTCGTAGATTGAAAATGACCAATTTATTATTGTTTTTTTTTGGAGGGATTATTATTAGGCTCTGTGTGGAGTAAGGAAACTTGCCCAAGGCTTCACCCTGTCTGGAATTGCAACAAACATGCACAACAATAAAAGTATCTGCCAAAGGTTCTTTGCTGTATTTTACAGACCATCATCTACACAGTTACTGTATTGATTCAGAGCATTTGACACAATTGCTTTTGAAATGCTGAGATGTTTCACCATTGCAGACACTGTATCAAATGCAATGATTTATTATTATTTGAGATATGACTACATTTTACGGCATGAAAAGACTCATCTAAAACAGGTCATAAATTTGGTTTCACAAGAAACGTATTAAAAAAAAGAATTTAAACATGAGGCACCCGCCCAAAGCATTTTATTCCCCGCACAGGACGACCGAAACCCGCCCAATTGGGCTGGAACCCGCCCAACCTGGCGCAACATCTCCCACCCCACCCGCCCCCGCCAGGTGACGTCAAGGAGGGCGGGGCTGGGCGGGGGCGTGTCACGTGGGGTCCCGGGTGACGTCAGGCCGGAGGTATAAGGAGCCCTGGATCCCGGGGCGGAGTGACAGACAGTTGAGCGCAGCGCGAGGAGTGTGTGTGCACAGCGGCTGCAGTGAGTGAGTGAGTGAGTGCACAGCGGCTGCAGTGAGTGAGTGCACAGCGGCTGCAGTGAGTGAGTGCACAGCGGCTGCAGTGAGTGAGTGCACAGCGGCTGCAGTGAGTGAGTGCACAGCGGCTGCAGGCAGTGAGTGCACAGGCTGGGCTGCAGGCACTGCCTTTCTTACCACTTGGCCTGACAAAACAGTTGTGCCTGTTGTCAGTAACTTGGCACAACTTCAATCTTGCAGTCGTTACCAACATTGTAAGTTGGGTTGTCAGGTCAATTTGGTTTTCCAGTGGTTTGGAACTTAATGTTTGCATCTTTACCATATAAACCATAAGTGCACCTCCTGCCAGTCTGATTGGAACCTGTTGTCCACAGGAGTTTGGCAAAGGCCTTCAAACGAAATCATCCTTTTTGAGCGAGATCAGAAGAAAAAGCAAAATGGTATCAAAGTGTGTTTCTTTTTCAGGTTCCTTGGCGATGGATCCTTTAGGTGTTGCAAATACCAATTTTGCTCTCGAGCTCTTCAAGGAGTTGACCAAAGCTGATCAAAGTGGAAATGTCTTTGTGTCTCCATTAAGCATATCGGCGGCTCTGGCTATGCTTTATCTTGGGGCAAAAGGCGAAACTGCAGCTCAAATGGCTAAGGCGAGTATGTAATCAAATTAAATCTGTGTTAAATGTTAACAGCTTTTATATAGAGACTGATCATGTACTGTTTAACTACATGAAAAGATTTGCTTTGCGGCTATTGTAAAGTAATGGAAAGAAGTACAGAGCAATTCCATTAGAATGTGGGGTTTTGATCCATAAAATGAAAAGTAAGCGAGCGGCACTGCTGTTTCTAAAGACAGTCTGATCCATCTGAAAACCTTCAGGCTGACTGTTTTTGTGATGTGAAGGCTGCCATTGTGTTTCTAATTACCCATAGAGCAGCCAAATGATGTTTACCGGCTGCCACATGTGTTGGACGGGAAGCTGACCCAAAAATGTGAAATGAATCATCTCAAACTTGGTGGAATCTGTAACATAAACCACTTGCGAAATGCGATGCTATAAATAATAAGAAAAGCTGGAGCGGATCAAAGAGTTTGAATTAAACTTATCCATGTTGTGATTGTGAAAATCTACTTCAAGTATAGGTAACTTAGATTAATTGTGAAAGTTCATAAAATCGTACAGCACAAAAAGAGGCCATTCGACCCATCGAGTGTGTGCCGGCTCTTTAAAAAGAGCAATGCAATGTCAATCCCACTCCCCAGACCTTACCCCATAACCCTGCAAACCCGTCCTCCTCAAATACCCGTCCACCGCGTTTTTAAAAGGAGTTATCGAATCGGCCTCGACCACCCTTTCAGGCAATGCATTCCAGATTCTAACAATTTGCTACATTTAAATATTTCTTCTCACCTCCCCTCTGCTTCTTTTAGATACTATTTTGGATCTGATCTCGAGTCACCAACACACCCACGAGTGGAAACAGTTTTTCCCTTTCTAACTGAGGAAATCGATTGCTATTTTTATGACCTAAAGTCAGAGCAAAATTCTTTTATGTAATAATTTCAATCCATTGCATAGCTGATTGACATGGCCTGAAAGATTGGGTGTTTTCTTTCACCAGCAGAGATCAGTATCTCTGCGATTTCTGCATAAAACGGTTGTATAGCTGCTTGAACTTAATTATATTGTTTAATGTTTCTATTAGAATCATTTACAAGAGTCCTAATAAAGCTACAAAATTGTTTAACACTTATCAATTTTGATATCAGCACAGTTGTACAAATTTCGAGAATAAAAGTAAAACGTATTGTGACTGCATTGGACATCAGCCCAGACTGTTTGGAATGGTCCCCTTTCTTCAGTTAAAGTTATCCCAAGTCAAATGTGTTCACAAGATCACAGGATTGGTTTGGATGAAGAAGGCCCTTCAGCCGATCTGATTTCCTCCTTCCAGAACACCCATCTACCATCTCCTCCCCCATCCCCATTAATGCATCAAGCTGCTTTTTGAATGAGTGCAGTGTGCTGGCCTCTACCATCTTTCTTGGCAAACTGCTCGAATCATTGATGATCTGCTGCATAAAGAAAGATCTCGTTATCTATCCTGAAATTCCCCTTTACAATTTTACATCTTTATCTTCTTGTTCAGGTATCCAAAGTATTGGTAGTTTTGGTGCATACTAGAGTATTGATGTGAGGTTATTTTTTTGAGCCCATTTAAAACTTCTGTGTTTAAATCAATCTCAATTGATTTATCCCATTTAATATTTTATACACTTCTATAGAGCCCCCCTGAGAAGTCTTCTCTCAAGACTGAAGAGTGCTAACTTGTCTGGTCGGTTACTTATAGCTCATTCTTTTAACAGCCTCTAGGACTTGGACAGCCCCTTATGTCACGGTGTTGAGAACTATATGCATTACTCTAGGTGCGATCTGATCAGAGCACAATACAACCCTGGTCAGACATCTAGGAATCTAAACTCAATTGATTTAGCAATGTAACCCAGCATCCTGTTTGCCTTGTTTATTGCTGTCTCCCATTGTTTTGAAATAGCGGAACTGTCAACCAACAGTTCTACATCTGTTTTGTCCTTCATGAATTCAGTCCCATCCAGGTAGTACAGTACTTGTGTTTCCTATTGTTGTGTCTTCTAAAAACAACCTTGCAGTTGTTTTGCAATAACAACCAGTCAGGCAAACCTAACCCCTTCTTCATAGAATAGAACTATGTAGTTCAAAGTTGTACACAGTCGAGAGCTGCTGCAGCAAGTGGAAGTGCAATGCTCTGCTGATGTGGTGGGAATGACTTGAGGTTTGACTTTTGAGAGTTTTTACTCTGCATGTGGTCCAATATCCACCTCAGTCGTCCTTGATGATCACAAATTAACTGTAAATGTAAGCGTGAAGAGCAATAACTTTTTAATATTGTCCACCTCCTAAGAGTATCTATATTGAAACAATGCCCAGCCTGATTTATTCACCATTTAATGTACTTTATCTTTAAAAAACTAACAATAATAATTTGGTCAATCGATCTACGATCGCTTGTGGGTCACTGCTGAGTGCAATTGGCTGCCGCGTTTGGCCCACGAACGACACGGTCAAATCACTTGACAGTATATTTTGTGAAGAACTTTGAGGCTGCATGAAGACGTGATAAGGCGCTATATCAAATCCAAGGATTATTATGTAACAGTGATATTTAATGATATTCCACTATACAAATCATTCATATGTTATTTGTATATAATAGCAACATCAATGCATTGTGGTTTATTTTATTTCAACTTTCTCAGATAATAACAGCTCCGGGACCAAAATATTTTACTAGGGAAATTTGTTTTGCTCTTTAGATGCCTTCTGTCCAATGGTGTAAAAGTATGCCCAGTATATTAATGCTTGTTTTCCTTTTTCTATAGGTGCTTCATTTTGATAAAGCACAAGATATCCATTCTGCATTTCAGAAGCTAAATACCGACATCCACAAAGCTGATACTCAATATCTGTTGAAGCTTGCCAACCGTCTCTTTGGGGAGACGACGTACAGCTATCTCCCTGTAAGTTTCTTTTTACATTGTTGGACCATGGTAGATAAATGCACCACATGAGGTGGTGCTTCACTGTATAGAACAGAAATGTCCCTGGTTTCAGCCTTTGCCCTCACTCTCTGGAATTCCATCCTGGAGTCCCTTCACCTTGTCCTAACTTCGCCTCTTTCAGGGTCTGGCTGAATACCTTCCTGTTTGATCTTCGGTGTTTCTCACACCGCTAACCCCTCTGTTCTCAACACCCCAGCTTGGATGCAAACCCTTGATTGTCCAGCACCTTGCAATGCCCTTTGAATGAGAAAAGTGCAATATGAAGACAATTGTTGTTATTAGCTTTCGTATGCTAGGGGACTGGGGAATAATGGGGAGGAGGATCAGAAGTGTGTAGTTTCTGATTTACTGACAGTTTAGAAGTAATTGATATCAGTGCTCTGGATTACAGGAAAGTCTGCAATCCAGCGCACAGTCAACACATGCACAACTGTTCCCTTCGCATTGGCCTACAAAATGTCTGCTCCCTCTCCAGTAAAACACTCACCATCCAAGACGTCACTGTTGATGAAAACATCGACTTTCTCACCCTCACTGAAACCTGGATCACTTCAGGTGATACCTTCCCTTTGATAAAGGCCACACCACACGGCTACACCTTCCATCATACCCCACGACATATTCAAAGTGGTGGTGTAGCTCTCATCTCACAGTCCCCGCTTGGCCTATCCCCTTACTCCTCTGGAACATTCCCCTCCTTTGAGCATTTTATCCTTTATCACCCCTCCAACCATTCCCTCAAAATTCTGCTTCTCTATCACCCCCAAAACCCTCTCCCATCTTCATCACCGACATACCCACCCTGCTATTTTGCCTCTTCCTCTACTCCAAACACCTCTTCTTCCTCGGCATCTTCAACCTTCACTTCACACCCTCCTGCTCTATCTCTGCTTACTTCTCCTCACTTATCTCCTCCCTCAACCTCTCCCTCCACATCTACTCCGCCACACATGTCCATGGTTACCCTCTCGACCTGGTGATCTCTCAGGGCCTCACCGTCTTGGACCTCACCATCATTGATAAAGTGATCTCAGACTATCACTCCATCTCCCTTCACTCCTCAATCCCTCTCCCCACTGCCACCCATCCTTATCCATCTCCACTGGCTTCCAATCACACAGAGGATACAGTTCAAGATCCTGGTACTTACTTTCAAATCCATCCATGCTCTTGCTCCCCCCCTACCTCTGCGACCTTCTAACCCGTTACCATCCTGCTCGTCCTATCTGTTCGGCGGGCTGTGGCCTGCTTCACATCCCACGCCTCCCTCACCCCACGTTTAGCGGGTGGGCCTTCTGCCACTCTGCCCCCACCGTCTGGAACTCTATCCCACATTCCCTCCACCTCGCCCCCTCCCTTGCCTCTTTCAAGGCCCATCTCAAGTCCCTCCTCTTCGACTGTGTTTTCGATCTCCCTACTTTCCACCCTCCCTGATCCCGACTCCCAGCTTGGTTCTGAAACTGTCTGTCCAGCCCCTTGAGATGTCCTCCCGACTTGAAAGGCACCAAACAAATGTAATTTTGTTGTTGTGATATCAAGTTGTGACTGGCTTGTAGACCGACACCAAACCTGAGCACCATAAAATAGTTTTGTGCTTCTTTGAACCTGCGATTGATAGCCTGAGTGGGTGGTATGCAATTGGTCATTTTCTCCTCTTGTGTTGGGCAGCAATGTTGTCTCTGTTCTATTAGTGTAATTAATATCTATACTGCAATTTTTCTTAGGGATAGTATATGCTATGTATGCAACACAATTCAAGTGGGGGGAAAGCTTTAGTTCTTCACCTTCTACTTCCAATATCTTAGGATTTTCTTGCATCCACCCTGAAATTCTATCAAGCTGAACTCGCGGCAGTTGATTTTCGCAATAAACCAGAGGAAGTCAGACAGCAGATTAACGCTTGGGCAGAGGCACAGACTGAGGGTAAGCAACTCTGAAATATTCAGGTAATGCAAACAATATATGAGTGGCTCACTTTCCCATCAGCGAGCAATCTAATGCATTTGTGTCACACAATCAGTCATTCACTGGCCAAGAAGAGAGAAAACACCCTTCTCCTTGCAGCACCAACAGCAGCAATTTTACATTGGTATAGCACCTTTCATGTCAGGAGGACATCTCAAAGCACTTCAGAGTTATATAGAGCTGGGCAGAATGCATAAAAGTTCCAGCACCAATGGTGGAGTGGATAGGATGGATAGGGCAGGGGACATTGTAGCAAGTCAGCCTTCACTGAGCGAAGGGAAGTTTTGGGTTGGTAGGTAGGGTTGATGGAGGCCGCAGAGGTATGGCAGTTGGGAAGAGACTTTGGAGGAATTTAAGCGCAATGCCAAGGATCTAGATTTTCATCCACTGGTGGGTAGGAAGCAAGTGAACCAAGACAGGATAGACTTCCGCAGCCTGTTGTGGAGGAGGACATGAGTTGCAGTATTCTGAATTATCTGTGTAGAAGGCGCTGGGGAGTTCCGCAAATGCTGTTTGAATAGTCCAGCCTGGACGAGATGAATATGCAAATGAGGAATTTATATAGGTCTTTAAAAATGGGAAGTGGTGAAAATCGACCAAGCCTTGTGAACAACTGCTTCAACCCACAGACAGAAATGTGAAGAATAACATGAATAATAATAATAATCTTTGCATTTGATATAGTGTCTTATGTCGTAAAGACATCTCAAAGTGTTTCATACTAATGTAAAGTGTAGTGATTGAATACTTTGTGGGCGAATGCTTGTAACTTACTTCTAAAGGACCTAATATACTATACACCTTCTGGAGAGGATATTTAAAGCTGTAAATCTTAATTGATGTAACTGAATGTGCTTGATTCCACTTCATCGTTTTATGTTCTGTGATCCACGGATCTAATTATTTTGTTTTTTAAACATGCCCACAGGTAAGATCAAGGACTTGTTGGCCCCAAATATTGTTGACAGTTTCACAAGGCTTGTCCTCGTGAATGCCATTTATTTTAAAGGCAACTGGGAGAGGAAATTCAACGCTGAAAGCACCCATGAGCGACCTTTCAAAATCAGCAAGGTAAATTGGAAGATGTAATGCTTCAAGATGTATGAATATGATCGAGATATATTCTGTTCAAATCCTGCTATAGCGCACTGCCCTTCATTGAAGACACGATGCAGACTGCTCATATACCTGAATTTAGGCAAGCTCAATTTTCTTTCCTTACCTTCCCCAGACACCCAGTAATTGGGATCAGTCTCGTTCTTCATGTTATTGAATTTAGGCCTTGTGACGTGGTGGTTACCTGTCCACAGTAAAGCCTCAGCCTAACTTCTATAGATTTATATTTCACAGTTCTGGCTTGTATTTTAACTTTGTACAATTTAGAATACAGTAGAAACCCGGTTTGCAATCACCTCAGTAATCCAGCCACCTCACAATTATGGGCACATTTTCACAGTCTCTGTCAAGGTCTATATTAAAAGATTGGCCGTCTGCTTCAATGAATCGGGCACCTCACTGTACAGTACAACGGTCATTGATTGCAGTCTGCGGCAATAGAAAAGCGCGGCAGCTGCAAGTGCCCTCCTCCACTACAGACACAGAACAAACACTCCCCTTCACTACTAACCTGTACACAGTGCGCTAGACTTCAGGATTCTCGCACTGTTTGCTCATTGTTGCTCCTGTGGCGAGTGGGCTCTGGTTTCTCATGCTCAACACGGGGACTGTTGGGATCGTGGAAGCAGTGCGAGTGAGATATGGACTTGGCCCAGCGCCCACGGCCTAACCTGAGCTCCTGCGGCCAATTCTTGGTAAATGCTGTAAACATGCCACCACTGAAGTTGTCGTCCTTACATGAGAGGATGGACTTGATCAAAAACAGTACCTGCCTGATAAGTGCACTTTTCTAAATCTTGTTTCCTACACCCTCTCTGATGATTGTTTTTGGTGCATATTCCTTTGAAGGGAGAGGGTCTATTTTCTCTCAGCTTCTCACCAACATCAACTGTGTTGTGTTTCAAGAGAACTTCAATGTCTTTGAGATCTGCAGTGCTATTTGTACTATGAACTGGAAACAGCCGTTACCTACAGAGTTCCCAGCTTTGTATCAGCATTTCCTTTTGATGAACCTGTCTGATACAAATAAAACATTTCTTGTTACATTACAGAATAAAGTCAAGCTAAGATTTAAATTATTAATTGTAAGATAAGCTCTCACCAAACAACTGCAACAAACTTGTTTGTGCCAACACAGACTGAAGTACAATTGCTTGAATTCCTCTCAAATTGAGTCACAGTGTAGCCATGCGGTAAGTGATCAGTCCTAGCACAGTTGAACAGGATTTAATTATCAGAGGGAAATAATATCCAAGCTTAAATGGGAAGGAAAATTGCGTGGTTTCTCTTTAAAATACTTCATCTGCTTTTCTCCTAAGAAGTTAACTATATATGTTTTTCTGTCTTAGAGAAATACACAAAATACACATTACCTACGAAATACTGTCAACCTACTCGTATATTCGGTGAAATGCTGTGAGATTTCTCAATGTGATAAGGCATCAAATTAGAAGATGACAATGTTTCCTCTATCCCACATCACAGTTGCCCTATTGACTGCTACCGTTTGGAAATTTTAGCAAATAATACAATGACTTGTATTGTATGAGGGAGAAGGGAATAGAAGGATGTGAGAGGGAGCAAGAAGTGGGTGGAAACTCTTGTGCAGTATAAACACCGTCATGGACTAGTTAGGCAAAATGATCTGTTTCCATGCTGTACATTCCATATAAATTGCAAAATTCCAACCCATAGGAATTATGCTCAGATGAGATCTACTTGAGAGTAGAGTTTCCACTTCAAGGTCATGTACATTTAGTTATTGGGAAGAAATGTTAAGTGTAACTTGTAGTTGGAATTTCTAAATCCAATTACGAATCACAGCAATTCAGATCCGTTGTCTAGCTGAAAAATTAAATGATATCTTAGTATTCCAGCTACTTAAATGTTTTGAGCTGTACTCTGTGAAGAACAGTTCCCATCTGATGCAAGCAGTCAGCTTGCCCAGTCACACACACAATATTTCTGGATGATGTAACATTTTGCTGATAAACATGTGATGTAGATCATACATTTTAGTTTTTATTGATGATGAAGTAAGTTTTGCCGTGATATAATTTCCTTCCACAATGTGCTTTCCCCTTTTATCTTGCAATCCATTGCCCCATAAATCTTTTCCTATGTCCTCTTTCAGCAAGGTTTGTTTAGAATTGCTGATGATCTTGTTTATGTTTGCAGAATGAAACCAAGCCAGTCCAAATGATGCGCCAGAAGGCCAAGTTTAACAACACTTACATTCGTGAAGTTGAGACCAGAATCCTTGAGCTCCCTTATGTTCAGAAAGAGCTGAGTATGATCATCATGTTGCCAGATCTAAAAGATGATGCAAGTGGACTGGAAAAAGTAAGTTGAAGTTTTTTGAAATAGTACCACTGTTAAGTGGATTCACTTTGCTTTTGGGAAAAGAAATACAGTCTTGATCAAAAATTAATAAATTCATACACCAGTCCTGTTTTCTCATTTCTGTTTCATCCCCTTATAAAGCTGAATCCACACTTTCCCAATGATCAGCTGAATTCATGAACAGAAATGTCTTATACCTAAAATATGTCCAAAATAGGTTTAATTTGCAATATTTGTTCTGAATAACAACATGTTGGATTTTCTTAGTTGTTATCTCATCTCTCACCCCTGGTGTGGTTTCAACAACCTGGAAGCAAGTGAGAGGACCTGGGTTCTATTCCCGGCAGGGCGAAACATTGGGCAAGTTTCCTAACTCCACACGTGTTTGCCTAGCAGTAAGTAAGAAGCCAGTTGTCGATTCCTGGATCACTTCTCTGTGGTACTTGGTGCATAATACAACTCATCTCATTCTGACTATCCTTTTAAGTTAGCTTAGAATTAATAGATCCCAAATCGGATCATCAAACAAGATTGTTCTCGTCCACTGAAAAATGGTTTCAGCTAAATATAAAAATATTATTAACAAGGAAGCAGTTTCAGGATTAACCTGAATAACACAAACAATCTTGTCCTTTAAACTCTGTGGCAGTTAAGGCAGTGAGGTTTTTATTACTATCGCGGTTGATTTAGCTCAGAGCTCTTATCTATTCTGTAAAACCCTTTGTTTGGTAGCAATGAATGTTTGGCATTTGCTGATGAAACTTGGCCCGTGATTACTGAATTAGCTCAGTTTCTGCTGCAGAAAACAATAAAAGCTCTTTCTCATCAGAAATGAATACAACCCAAAGGCTTTGCTTTACATTGGAGGTCATTATTTACAAAGGGTTTGGGCAGTATCAAAAAGCTGGGTGGGGCAAAACTTTGCTCCTCACGCCTCTTTGTCTAGCAGTAAATAGGAATCTGGTTGTTCAGCGATTGGCAGATCGCTTTTCGGGGCAATAATCCCTCAAATAAAGAGATAGAGATCACTGAACCCACGTCTGTTTATGCGCAACTGGCTGTTATATTTCGCCCAGAAAATATACACTCATTTCACTTTGTAAGTATATTGTGTGAAGTGCTCGGAGACATCTCAACGACATGATAAGGTGCTATTTATTGTTTCTATTAGTATTATTATCAAAAGGCCAATCAAGCCAATGAACCTGGGAATCCAATATAAGCCAGATGACGTTTCTCTTATTTTGCTCTCTGGTCTGCTGTTTAACATTTTCACCAGCATCTAAAACTGCTCTGCACAAGAGCTTATTGTTGAGGTGATCAAGTGTGCAGTGGATGGGAGAGATCCACATTGTGTGTGTTCGCTCCCTCATGGTAACAATCTTTCTTGTTTCTTAGATTCCTTTCTCAGCTTCACGGAGTCCTGTAGCTCAGTGGTTAGAGTACTCGCTTTGCAAGCGAGAGACCTGAGTTCAATTCCAGGCAGGGCGAAACCTTGGGCAAGTTTCCTTACTCCACATGCCTAATAATAATCCCTCCAAAAAACCAAAAACAACAATAAAAATTGGTCATTTTCAATCTACGACTGTTTGTGGGACATTGCTGTGCGCAATTGGCTGCCACGTTCGCCCACAAATATACAGTCAATTCACTTTACAGTGTGTTCTGTGAAGTGCTTTGGGACGTCCTCCCGACGTGAAAAGCGCTATACCAAATGCAAGATTATTATTATTATTCAGGGGAAATAGTCCCACCTTTTTATGTCTCTCCACAAGACTGCAAAGTACATCCTTTCAATCTTGTGAATCTCCTATTGCTTCTTTAAAATGGCGAGCCAAAAACTACATGGAATGCTCTCAACTATGAACTAACTTTCATCTGATGGTTCAGACAATAATGAACTGTTTTCAACCTCTTCTCCCCTTTTTTGTTTCAGCTTCAAAATGGCCTGACTTTTGATAAGCTGTTAGACTGGACCGATCCTGACAAGATGGAAAATGATGAGATCGTTGTAATGCTCCCCAAATTTAAGATGGAGAACACCTATGACTTCACCTCAACACTTGGTGGTATGGGAATGGTTGATGCTTTTGATTCTTTGAAGGCAAATTTCTCGGGAATGACTGAGAAAAATGACCTGGTTTTGTCAAAAGTTGTTCACAAAACCTTTGTTGAAGTTAATGAAGAAGGTACTGAAGCAGCAGCTGCCACTGCAGCTATTATGATGTTACGATGTGCAATGATTAGAATGGAGTTTGTGGCTGACCATCCATTCCTGTTTTTCATCAGGCACAACAAAACTCGCAACATCCTGTTCTTTGGGAGATTCTCCTCTCCTTAAACACAATGCAAAAAGCCACTAATACAAGCATTAGTTAATAGCTTCACTCACTTGCTTCTTTGAAAAATCCTTTTTTTTTGGCACCATGCATATGCTGTCAGTGATTGCTACCAAACTGTTGTCAATGTCAGTAATCTGATCCTTAATATCACACAGTGGATATTTCATCTTGTCAGATTTCACTGTAAGGAGCACGAAACCCTGGGCAGGAGATGTGTAAACCAAAGATCTAAAATGTTTTGCTGTGCATTTTTTTTTACAGTGTCTTTGTACAACTTCAACCTTCGTCTAAAATAATAGTAACCTGCATTTTATAAGAGTATTGCACGTCCTATCAGTGTTTTAACGTGTCATTTTACATACTATAAATCAATAGTTTGAAGTTGAAATAAAATGATGTTGCTTTTAACTTCACTGTTGCTCTGTTTTCTTTCCTAAGCTGTTTTTTAAATCAATAGCAACAAGGGGACTCTGCAGGACACTGATATTGTGCACTGAAGCACTGCCTTCAAAAAACATATGCTTAAGTTGCACTTGTTTTCCCAGTGGGAATCCTAACAAATATTTGGAGAAAGTGACAAAGGAATTTTATCTGTCTGTAAACAAAACTCCCTGCCCTGATATATCCGGCCACTGTATGTGCTTGAGCCCAAATCTAACCCAGAAGAGAACATTGCTAAAGGAGTGGATGACATTTTACATTCCACACCATTCAGCTCGTCATCTCGTGGCAATTTTGTGCTATGGAGCATGTTCCCACGAGAAATGACATTGAAACTGTTCAAATTATATATGACCCTTACAGCCAATGGAGAAGACTCTAATGCTGTGAATTGAGCTGGATTTGAACTTGTGTCAAGCTGAGTCACCACTATTGCCATTTACTATCAAAACAAAGTGAATCAAGGTAGCATTATGATAGTCAAAATAAGACGGACCTTTAAAGCGGTTCTGGAAGCTTCCTGGGAGCAAGCTAGAACTGCAACAAAGGCAATTTCTGACCAAGTACGGCATGAAGCTAGGAAAGTCATCAGAGAAATGAAGCGAGATCAGTGGGCTGCAGATACTCCAACTGCACAAGAACAATCCCAAATCTTTTATCAGCTGGCTGAAGTCTGTCATCGGCCACGGCTGGAGGGGCCCCTCTGGGCCTGTACCAATGTTGGACAAGTCTGGTGATCTACAACAGACTAATCAGGGTATCCTTGGGGTCTGGAGGGAACAATACATGGAGTTGACGTCTGACCCAACAGGCCATTGCAGAGACCCATCTGCAGGGAGGCTGGAGGAGCTGGCGGGAGGCATACCCAGATTGAAGGCCTTATTGACCCAATCCTCTGGGAGGAGCTGGCCTCTGCACTGCGGTTCCTTGACAATAAAATCACCCGCTAGGCCACCTGTTGGGTCACGCTAGTCTAGACAGTGACTGCTGCTGGGCTGTTTCAGGTTAATGTCTGTTTCAGTTTCAACATAACCATTTATATTGAGGGGAAATCAATGGGGAGAAATTGGGAGAAGAAAATCTGATTGCTTCATATTTCTTTTTCTTATGATTCCCAGCGAAGAACACAACCCAGAAGTCAATTGGTGGGTTACCACTGAACCCTTGATAAGATCGCTTACCTCAGTGCAAGACAAGTGTCTTTATCTGCGTAGCTCAGATCACCCCTATACCATGTACGTACTCATCTGGCTGTGGCCCTTAGAGGTTTGCATGCTGGACAAAATCATTATCATTGAGAATTGGCATCAGTACATATAAAAATAACATTGGAGATCAGTGCCTCCTATTGAGACATTAGGTTTAAGAAATCTTTATGCAAATACATAAGTATTTATGAGCATTGTGTTTTACAATTTCAGCATAATTTTTTTTTGTAGTGCATGAAGTGTATGTCACTGTTTCTTATAAGCTGTACGTCCACACAGTGGTCTGTGGTGTGCCATGCACTTAATCATTGTGGTAGACACGAGCAGACGAGTGCTACGGGAACCAGGAGGTGAAGAGGAGCGGACCGGGGGCAGCGTTTACAGGAGCTGATTCCAGGCCGGCGGATGAGAGAACAACCTTGTCCTGAGCCCGAAGACACGAAGGAGGTTGGAGTGGCCCGAGCGGAGACCTGCTGCTGAGCCAGCAGGCAACAACCGTCAAGGTGCTGATACCGCGGGTGAGCGGGCGAGGCAGTGACTGGCGTGGGGCTGAGGGTTCAGTGTTACAAATTGTTGCCTGGTGTCAGTAGACATCTATAATTGTTCTTTTAAGATCTACCAAATACCAACCGCAAAGACGAGGCTGATTTCAATTATTTCTCAAGTTTTGCAAGCTGCAAAATGTAACATAAATAAAGCAAATCTAGACCCAGGAAGAATTTCTGTGATCTCTAATGTAGCCCTACCAAAACCCAACTACACTTTGTTTAAGTTGTGTATCTTCAAGTTTGGTGCTAAAGTTGGGTTTCCACACACACCATGAGCAACCATAATGGTGACTCATGTGGGCACACCTTCCACATGCAAATTGTCTCTTCTGTAACTTTTTACAAGCAATCAAGAACTATTGAAGGGTTGGCAGTAATGGGTTTTGCAATAGGTTTCACCAACAATTCAATGGTTCACCAAAAATATACAGGAATCGAACCTGTGAAGCAGCAACCGTTAGCCAAAATAACAAGTTTATTCTCATGTTGAACATGTTTGCACACATCTGCTATAAATGGGCAACTGAGCTACAAATGAATAAATTTAGGCAGAATCCTGAAGACTTATGTAGTTTATGCAACACACTAACAAGTTAATGGTCAATGAAGGTGAGGTTAAAGTCTTTCATGTTTGTATAGCATTGCAACACTGGAAACGAGTGGATTGTGCAATAATTGTTTGACTTGCTAACAATGCTAATTATAGATCGTACGAGTTCAGTTGTGGAATATGAACTTTATAACAACAGTGAACCTGATAACCAGGAGCAGTAGAGACCGCAATTAATCATGCTGATTGTATCCAATGGTTGACTCCATCAAAAGATAGTGTTGTTACATTGTGTGGGAATTGAACTTCTTCACACCATTTGATTTCATACCATTGCTCTGCTCAAAGAGCCACCAATATTTTGCCCACCTGAGCTCCTCAATCTCCCCAGGCTCTCACTCAGACTCACCGAACCTGTGCGCAACTTCGGTGTCAGGTTCGATCCCCAGCTTTCGTTTCTACCCCATATCCGTTCCCTGCTCAGGATCACATTTTTCCACCTCCGTCACAATGCCCGCCTCCATCCATACCTCACAACCAACGCAACCGAAACTCTCACCCACGCCTTCGTCACTAGAAGCAGTAGCTCTACGGGTGCTGCTGTACTTGATCCTCTTCAAGGTCCTGGACAGGGTAGAGTATAATATGGACAGGATGGCCTTCATCAAGAGGGTTCGATGGAGGCTGCGGCAAACTGAAAGAAAGCTTGAGATGTGCCTATGTAAATCAAGAGAAAAGGAGGAATGATGTGATCTGTGTCTCGTACTAGGAGACGATGAAACTAAAAGAGATTGCCCTCCAGAAATACAACAGGAGATTCTGTGTCCCTATGCAATCAAGGCATTTGCAGGAGAGGATCAATCTGGACATCAGAGTGGGAGGTGCAGCTAAAACTGCACCCGAAAGGTATCATTCACATACTCTCCCGCTTTAACATTGGGATGTTCAGGGGGACCCTGTGCACGCCTGAGGTGTAAGCAGAGAGTATCCCAAAAGTGCGAGGCTTATGTATAAATATACAAGTCTCTCCCCATAAAGGGGGGAGCAGTGGAGTGAGGCATAATGACTGGCCATTCGGGTTATATATATATTGCTTATAACCTGAATACAAATAGCAGTTCACAATAATGCAGCAATTATTTACTCCAGAAATCCAGTAATCGGTTAATAGAAATAAAGAACTTTCATTTAATAATTTTATTGCATTGAAATATTTCAGCTAATATCTTTCAATTGTAGAAAGCTGCAGTATTGAGGTAGGCAGGTACTTGTATGGTGTTAAATTGATTAAGAGATACACATTACAATGGTAAGGAAATTTAATAAGGGTACAGCTGCAAAGATATTATGGATGCAATGTTCAATTGTACAAGTTTGAAAATGTGGAGTGAAACAGTGTTCTCTGGTGACAATCAAGTAAACATTGGGTTGAACTGGTAAAGTTTCATGATATAGCTTTCATGCACAAGAGGATTAAGAAATTTCAATAACGCCTCCAGGTTTGTAAAGCCCAGACCAGTATCCAAAGATTTTGAAACTATTATTGGGGTGTGAATGTTTTCCAGATTTGCTTGAATTTGTTGGTCAGGTCCCTTGCTCCTTCAACAACAATTCACATTTATATAGTGCCCTCCATGCAAGCTGACGTTTCAGAGGGCTTAAACAGCGGCAGAGCCTGACTCCAAGCCGGGTGGGGGGTGGGGATGGGACTTGAAAAGGGAGAGAGAGTGCGCAAGGTGTAGGGATTGAGGGAGAGTGTTCCAGAGTTTCGGGGTGTAGTAGCTGAATACGTGTCCGCCAATGGTGGAGCGGAGGGTCAACAGACTGGAATATTGGGACAAGCAGAAGGCCGGTGCCAGTCAACAATTCAAACAATTTTGTAGGTGAAATATGGCTTTGAGACCAATTTTATTAAGTGTGAATATTGTAAATATATGAAAAATCCAAGTTAATATTTTATGGATAACATTGGCCTGGCTTCCTCCTCCTCCCCTGCACCCATGTCTCCTAACACCCCTCCCTTGCCTTCTACAGCACCTACTCCTTTGCCACAGCTCCTACCATTGCCTCCGCCCTACTCTCCATTGTCAGTTACACTTCCATTCCTTGTCTGCTGAGCCAACTGATCTCAGCAACCCTGACTAAGGTGGGGACATAGGGATCAATTCAATGTCAGAAACAATTCAAACCAGGAGTGCCCGGTATTCCTGTCTGTTGACAGACTAAGCCATCTGGCTCAATGGCAGGACTTAAGCGACTGGTCACTGGAAGCAGAAATACTTTCCACTCAGCAAATGTTAAGCCTGGATGCCAATGCCCTAATGCATAGAGATGGTCCTTAGTGGACAACACCAACAAATTGCATTTATATTGCGCCTTTCACATCAGGAGGACATTGCTAGATGCTGGACAAGCAGCATGTCCAGTCACTTCGCACTGACACTCTTCCTCTGTCCTTCCGCCTCCCTTTTCTTTCCCCATCTACAGATTGTGCCTAAAGAAAATAGTAAATCAGACGCTCGGCTCGATTCATTTGTATTCCCAGCTATTTTAAATATGCCGGTTGATTTGGACAAAAATCCAGTTAATTTGGACAAAATGCCACACAGGTCACCGCTGCATCAACTCACTCTGTGTCTCGAGAGGCTCCACTCCGTGCACGATCGGCTCCGGGATGGAGATGGAGGAGTCAAAATATGATAGACTGACAACAGACTCCAGCCATTCCCCAGCGACTGTGGACCGTCTTGGCATCTGTTTGCATCGTGTTTAAGGAGAGGAAAAACTCCCAAAGAACAGGATGTTGTGAGTTTTGTTGTGCCTGATGAAAAGCAGGAATGGATAGTCAGCCACAAACTCCACTGTAATCATTGCACATCGTAACATCAGAATAGCTGCTGTGACAGCTGCTCCTTCTGTATCTTCTTCGTGAACTTCAACAAAGGTTTTGTGAACAACTTTTAACAAAATCAGGTCATTTTTCTCAGTCATTCCCGAGAAATTTGCCTTCAAAGCATCAAAAGCGTCAACCATTCCCATAACACCAAGTGTTGAGGTGAAGTCATAGGTGTTCTCCATCTTAAATTGGGGAGCATTACAACAACCTCATCATTATCCATCTTGTCTGGGTCATTGCAATCTAATAGCTTATCAAAAGTCAGGCCATTTTGAAGCTTAAAAAAAAGCAGGAAAGGGAGTAAAAACAGCTTATTATTTGCTGAAACATCAGATAAAAGTTAGGTCACGATTCTGAGCATTCCATGCAGTTTTTGGCACTACCTTTTAAAGAAGCAATAGAGGAGATTCAAAAAATTAAAGGGATATATTTTGTAGTTATGCGAAGGAACTTTAAAAGGTGTGACTGTTTCCCCTAAAGCTGAGAAAGGAATCTAATGTTCTCTCATGATTAGAAGTTGAAGCAAAGAACATCAGCTAATTGGTCAAAGTGGACCTGTTTACCAGAACGATGGGAGACAAAATCAACAATGAGCCCTTAAAACATACACTAACTGCCCTTTATAATGAAGCACTTGAAGACTTCCTTCTGACTTGAAAGGTTCTCTATCAAAAGTAAGGATTAATTATTATTCTTATTTGGGTTATCACAGCAAAGTCACCATGGTCAGTTCCCCATCCCAGTATAAACTAGACACAAACTGCAGTGTAACATTCATTGAAACAAAACTAAAATATTTATCTTCCTTTTACTAACTCACTTGCAAGAATCTGAGGTCATTAACCTAGTCACTGATCTCCACTTAGGTCTCTGCTGAGAAAGAGTCAGAGCTTCCAATGGTGAAAGGGAAACATTGACAATCCTGGTCTATGACACTAGATGGAGCATATACTGTAAACTGAATTGTCTGTATATTTTGTGGGAGAATGCCATGGAAATGTGAAGTTTAGTCGGATTAAATTATACAGGAGAACCCCATTATAACAACAACAAATCACATTTGTATAGTGCCTTTCACATCAGGAGGACATCCCAAGGTGCCAAGTTGCACCTTGGAGGGACTTGGAACAAACAAGTGTATCAGCTCACAACTCTGCTCAAATCATAAGTGACAGCATTTTATTTATTATGACTCTGACTTCACTTAAGGCCTTGGGGTGTCGTCATGATATATGCTTGTGTCCGTTAAATATTTTAAAGTTGTTTTGAGAAATGTGTATTTTAAATTTGTCAATATAAACAGGATACTGGTTTTGTTCTCCCAACTCGAGAAGCCCCGAATCTAATCATTGGGTATAAAATACGAAACATGTGACATTTGGCACATTTTATAAGTAAACTATTATAACTTGCTGCTTTGGGTCCATAAGCTCAAACATCACATTCTGATGGGGAGCAGTCAAATTGGCCATCACATCGTGGGCACTGTATCGGCCACTAACTTGCAGATCCAATGCACGACTGCTTAATACACAAAAATTGGCTTAGCCTGATATTCTTTACTTAACTTTACAAATGGTCTTCTTATTAGGTGAGAGCTTGTGCCAGGAAGAAATAAGTAAATATTGAAATAGTATTGGCCAGGCATATTGATAATGTATTAATATAATGCTGAGATACAGCTTGTATTTTATCAAGGTCGTATCAAAATAAAACATCACAGAATAGATGCTGTCAAGTTTCCGAATTGTTTTTTATAAGTAAACTATGGCAAACGTTTGCAACAGCAAAGTCCCACAAACAGATGTGAGATGAATGAACAATTTATCTGAAGGACATTTGACAATGACAAACAGCTTCTCTTTTTGAATGGTATCATGAAATCTTCTGCATCCATCTGAAGAACAGACAGATGGGACTCAGCTTAGTACTTCATCCAGAAGTCAGCACCTCCATCAATGCAGCACTTCGCAGCGCAGGTGTTTCAGCCTAGACATCGAGCACAATTCTTGATGTGGGGCTTTATCTGCAACCTTGTGATCTAATTTTTTTCTAATTCATCTGGTAGCAACCAGATGGAATTTCCTGCCTCTGATGGCTCCATTGCTACTTTTCATCAATCTGCAATTATATTTTAATCATAGCCCCTTGAATTTTCCAAGAAGATATCAAGTGAATACACTTTACAAGAAATCCTGTGAAGTGTTGTGTGTCGTGCTGCCAAAATTGAAAGGCGCTATATCAAATGCAAAAAAAATCACACGATAAATTAGCTGTATTCCAGAAATGACGATTTCTACTTCTGTATTTCTGTTGTGTTGCTCTTAACAGAACAATTGTAACAAACTAGTCGATTTGTCTACGATACACCAGCATGCTTCCCTTGTAGCACTTAGCATTCTTGGCATTCAAAGAATCAAATAGGATTGAATTTAACAATATAGCGGAGTCCCATTATAACACATTGTCCAGAGCCATAAAATACCAACTTACACTATGATGAGGTGTGTTATCTGCTTGTTATTATAAGTGACTTCATGTTTATTAGCTGCTAGTGCCATCAGAACCATGTTGTGAGACCATTCTATCGTCATCCACCGCCTCTCCTCTCACATCCACCTTCACAGCTCTCTCCTTGACTGGTTCAGATCATACCTCTCACCCCGCCTCCACTTCAACTCCACAAATGGTTCCTCCTCTAGTCCCTGCACCGTCTCGTGCTTCCTGTAAATAAAGGCAACGGAACCCAGAAACAAGGAAGCCCCGGTCCCTCCACTTGAGGAAAGTGTGAAGAAATAGGTCCGCCACAAGGAGACAGTGTTGTTGCACATTGTAATGGGATTGAAACAGTTGCAGTTTTCCTTTTTTGTTGTTACGGATGTGGTTTTCATGACGCAAATGGAATATATTTTTTATATGAAAATAAATATATTTGTTTAAAAATAAACAAGAGGAAGGGGTTGCTGCGGATTGTAACAGGACTGAATCAGTTTTGCGTCTTGTTTTAACGTCGTGGGCGAAACATTGGGCAAGTATACTTACTCCAGACGCCTCTGTTTGCATAGCAGTAATCAGGAACCGATTATTAATCGATTGGCGGATCATATTTCCGGGATAATAATGCCTTCAAAAAAATAATAATAATTTGGTCACTCAATCCACAACAGTTTGTGGGACACTGCTGTGTGCAATTGGCTGCTGTGATTCGCCCACAAAATACACAATTAATTCAGTTTACAGCGTATTTTTGTGAATCACTTTGAGACGTCTCAAAGACTTGATAAAGCACTATTCAAATTCACAAATTATATTATATATATTTTTACTAATAATTATTTTTATATATTTTTAAATGAAAACTACTTAGCACAACAGTGTTGTGGATTGAGAAATGTTACAAGGGACATTAGAGATGGAAAATAAATGCTAGGCTTGACCACTAGTGAAAAATCACTTCAGTTCCCTTTCAATAACTTCAATAACTCCTCCAAGTTTGTAAAGCTCAGGCCAGTATCCAAAGTCTCTGAAACTAATATTGGGGTGTGAATTTTTTCCAGATTTGCTTGAATTTGTTGGACCTGTTCCTTGTTCCGTTAACAACAGTAACTCACACTTATATAGCGCCTTCTAAGCTGGGCAGAGTCTCAGAGAGCCTAACAGTGGCAGAGCCAGACTCGAAACCGAGCGGGGGTGGGGAAGGCATCCGTAAACATTGTCGACAAAGAAGGTTTCCAGGTGAGACTTGAAGAGAGGGGGAGTGTGGGCAAGGCGGAGGGATTGAGGGAGTGTTCCAGAGTTTCGGGGTGCAGCAGCTGAATGCGTGACCTCCAATGGGAGCGGAGGTTGCGAGGGACAAGCAGGAGGCCGGTGCCAGTCAACAGTTAAAACAATTTTGTAGGTAAAATATGGCTTTGAGACCAATTTTATTAAATGTGGATGTTGTGAATGTATGAAATATCTCAGCTAATATTTTACAGATAACATCGGCCTGGCTTCCTCCTCCTCCCCGCACCCATGTTTCCAAGCACCCTTCCTTTGCCTTCTACAGCACCGACTCCTTCTGTCACAGCTCCTACCACTGCCCCCACCCTACCCTTCTTTGTCCCTGTCTCTTTTTCCTCTGTCTCAACCATCAATACCGATACCTGTTGTCTCAACACCCCCCACTCTGCCCCCTGCCGGTTGACACAGTCAACCAGTCCCACACATCAGCAAAATCACTGTCATCACTCCCCTCCTCAAAAAAAACTCTCTATCCCTCAAACCTTGTTAACTGCTGTGCACAATTAGCTTTACAGCATATGCTGTGAAGCGCTTTGAGATGTCTAGAAGACATGAAAAGTCACTATATCAAATGCAAGGATTATTATTATATTATTTTATTATAATTATCATTATTACATTATTATTGTTAACTTCTGGATCATTTCCAACTTGCCTTTCGTTGCTAAAGTTTAGGAAAACATTTTTGCAAATCAACTTTGCTCAAGCCTTTCCCTCCATGCCCTTCTCGAGCCCCTCTTTCTGGATTCCACCTGCCCACAGCACAGACACATCGCTCGTCAAAGACGCTGATGACGTCCTCTCTCTGTGACTCGGACTCCATCTGCACTTTTGTCCTCCTGGCCCTATCTACTGCATTCGACACAGTGAAGGACGCTATCCTACTCCACTGCATCTGCCCTCTCATCTACCTCAGTGGGATCAAACTCGCCTGGTTCGAGTCCTGCCACCATCACTTCACCTCCAGAAATGTTTTTCCTCGCACCACTGTACAGTTACCTGCCGTGGACCCCAAGGCTCCACCCTTGGCCCCCTCCATTTCCTCATTTAAATTCTCCCTCTCTTTGATATCATCCGCAAACGTGAGATAAACTACATAACATTGGTGTCAGGTTCAACCGCAGCTTTCCTTTCTCCCCCACATCCAGTAACTAACCAAGACACCTTCCTCCACCTCCGTCACATTGCCTGCCACCGACCTCACCCACACGGCCGTCCAAACCCTCGCACAACCCTTCGTAACCTGCAACCTCGACTATTCCAATGCCCTCCTCACTGGTCTCCCCAGCTCCACTACCCACAAACTATAACTGATTCAGAAATCCGCCGCCTGTATTCCCACCCTCACTAAACTCAGTAGCTCCACCATCACACCAGTCCTCTCCAGGCTAACTGGCTCCCTATCATATAATGCATTGATTTCTAGATCCTCTCACTCGTCTACAGATCCCTTCATACCCTGGCACCCGCTAGCTTTCTGTCATGCTTTGTCCTCCTGGACCTACCTGCTGCACACAGTCGCTCACATTATCATTCTCTTCTCCCTCTCTTCCCTCATCCATCTGTCAGGATGTCTCACATTCACAGTCGCAGATCACACCATCCATGGACACAGAATGTCTGTCAGACATCAAGTCCTGGATGAGAGGTAACATTCTTCAGTTGAACATCAACAACACTGAGGCTCTCCTGATTTTCTACCGTCAGAGCATCCACACCTCAGTCACTGACAGCATCACCATCTAAGGATGCACATTGCACCTTATTAAGCCAGTCCAGAACCTTGGCGTGCTTTTGCATTGTGTTTAAGGAGAGGAGAATCTCCCAAAGAACAGGATGTTGTGAGTTTTGTTGTGGCTGATGAAAAACAGGAATGGATGGTCAGCCACAAACTCCATTGGAATCCTTAAACATTCTACCGTGACCGTAACTGCAGTGGCAGCTGCTGCTTCTGTACCTTCTTCATTAACTTCAGCAAAAGTTTTGTGAACAACGTTTGACAAATTCAGGTCATTTTTCTAATCCATTTCCGAGAAATTTGCCTACGAATCATCAAAAGCATCAACCATTCCCAAACCACCAAGTGTTGAGGTGAAGTCATAGGTGTTCTCTATCTTAACTTTGGGGAGCATTACTTCAATCTCATCATTATACATCTTGTCTGGGTTGGTCCACTCTAGCAGCTTATCAAAAGTCAGACCATTTTGAAGCTTAAAAAAGGGGGGAAAAGAGGCAAGAACAGCTTATTATTGTCTGAAACATCAGATAAAAGTTAGGTCACCATTGCGAGCATTCCATGTAGTTTTTAGATCCCCACTTTAAAGAAGCAATAGAGGAGATTTATAAGATTGAAAGGATATAGTTTTTAACTTTGGGGAGACACTTAAAGAGGTGGGACTGTTTCCCCTGAAGCTGAGAAAGAAATCTAATGGTCTCTCATAATTAGATGTTCAAGCAAAGAAATAAATATTTAAAAAGTTATTTAAAAAAACTTTAAGGATATAGAGCAGGGAAACAAGATAGATAGGTTTCCATGGGGGAGAAATAGAAGAGAAAACAGGACTGGCATTTGAATTTATTCATTTTTAATCAAGACTGTATTTTTTTCCCAAAAGCAAAGTGAATCCACTAAACAGTGGTACTATTTCAAAAAACTTCAATTTATTTTTTGCAGTCCACTTGCAGCACCTTTTAGATCTGGCAACATGATGATCATACTCAGCTCTTTCTGAACATAGGGGAGCTCAAGGATTCTGGTTTCAACTTCACGAATGTAAGTGCTTTTAAACTCCTCCTTCTGGCACATCATTTGGACTGGCTTGGTTTCATTCTGCAAACAGGAGTAGAAACCTTCAGCACTCTAAACTAACCTTGCTGGCGGGGAAAACAGGAAAAGATTCATGAGGAAATCGATTGCAAGATAAAAGGTGACTTGTAATTGGATTTAGAAATTCCAACTACAAGTTACACTTAACATTTTTTTCCAATAACCAAATGTACATGATCTTGCAGTGGAAACTCTACTCTCAGTAGCTCTCATCTGAGCAAAGTTCTTATGTGTTGGAATAAGGCAAGTCACATGGAATGCATAGCATCGAAACAGATCATTTGGCCTAACTAATCCATGACGGTGCTTATACTCCACATGAATTTTCATCCACTTCTTACTCCCTCCCACACCTTTCTATTCCCTTCTCCCTCACGTGTATACCTAGCTTCCTCTTGAATGCTTCTCTACTTTATGACTCAATAACCACTTCAGGGAGCAAGTTCCACAATTTCGATGACTTATTAAGGACAGGAACATCCGAAAAACAGCACTCGTACAATACAAGGAAATGACACAAACAGTAGCAGTCAATAAGGGAACTGTGATGTGGGATAGAGGAAATATTGTCATCTTCTCAATTTAATGCCTTATCACATTGTTGAGAAATCTCACAGCACTTCACAGGATATATGAGTAGATTCACAGTATTTCGTAGGTAAAGTGTATTTTGTGTACTTGTCTAAGACAGAAAAATATATATAGTTAACTTCTTGGGAGAAAAGCAGATGAAGTACTTTAAAGAGAAACCACACAATTTTCCTTCCCCTTTCAACTTGGGTATTATTTCCCTCTGATAATTAAATTTGGTTCTATTTCTTAAATTGAATTTCTCTACCTTTGCAAGAATATGTAGGAAACAGAGACTTTCAAAATAATTTTAAAGGTACAGAAAATATTCATTGTGGCATATAAAAGGAAAATATAATCTTAGTCAATTCTCAGGGTTAATACTATATTAAGCGCTTTGAGACATCTTGGCGACATGATAAGGCACTATATTAAGTGCAAGGATTATTAAGATCATTATTATTTATTTTGTGTTGCTATGGAGTCCTTTTGCAGTCAGACAGTCTACAAAATTAGGGTCAAAATGTATAAATTAAGGAACATAATGTTCTTCATAAGCACTTGAACCATTTGAAAAATTTCTCTTACAAAACTTCCCAGAAATTCCTCCAAATAGCACACATCAAATGAATACTCCTGTAGCGGTGCCTCAGGGAGACTCTTATGGGGAGGGGCCGAGAGAATGACACTTGCGCTGTGCTACCCAGAGTCTTAGAATAATGACTATTATATACAGTACAGCTGTATGAGGGTCACAGGCACCGTGTGGTGGTTTGGATCCTAAACCCTGTGCGAGTCTGAGAATAATATAATATTTACCCACACCAACACCAGGCCCCGGTCTCTCACCTATCCCTGCAGTGAGCCAGGAGGAGCATCAAGCAAGTGCCAGGATTAAGTCATCCTTGTTACCTCCCTGGGGACCACATACTATCTGCAGGAGAGCATCGAGTCCCAGACACTGTGAACTGCTTGAAATACAATGAATGTGGTTGAAGAGACAAGCTCAAGTGAGTGAGCAGGAATGCGTGTGAAAGTAAGTATTTGAGATGGGAAAGTGAGCTGCAAAGATGTGACCAAAGTGATATTGGGAAGAAAAAGAGCAAGTCCTCCTCCTGTTTACCTGTGCTAGGACTGATCACCTACATATACCGTATAGCTACACTGTGACTCAATTTGAGAGGAATTCAAATAATTGTACTTCAGTCTTTGTTGGCACAAACAGGTTTGTTGCAGTTGTTTGGTGAGAATTATCTTACAATGAATAATTTAAATATCAGCCTGACTGCATTCAGCAATGTAGCCAGATACACAGTGTAATAAAGGGCAAAAATATTTCAATTTGTATCATACAGGTTCATCAAAAGCAAATGCTAATACAAAGCTGGGAACTGGCCTCTATCATCCTTCCTGCTAATAACTTGCAACTGTTACTTTCTATCATTTTTGAGGTGCAAATGTGACTGACATCTGATATTTTATGTGGTCAATCCTTTTGATATTTAATTGACTTGAGCTTAGTGACTGGAAAGTATTCATTTAAGATACTAGTAGACAAGCAAATGGGAGGTTCGGAGACTTTTTTTCCCACATAGAGTAATTAGGATATGGAATGCCCTGTTGGGAGTACTGGTTGAGGCAGAAGCCAGCTGAGCAGAGGCAGCGTGTGGTGGAATAGGACGCAATAATAATAATCCTTGCATTTGATATAGCGCCTTATGACATCTTTGAGACGTCTCAAAGCACTTCACAGAATATAGTGTAAAGTGAATTGACTGTATTTTGTGGCCAAAATTTGGCAGCCAATTGCGAATAGCAGTGTCCCAAAAACAGACCAGTGACCACAATATTATTGTTTTTTTGTATGCAATTTTTGTACCTTGCCATTTCGGCATGACTGTGATAGAACACAGGTGACCTTTATCTCCTAATGTAAATCCGCATGCGGTAGTTGAGGCCGGGAGCAGTACTCTTGGACATGTCCAAATGTTTCTTCGTTTATAGCAATGTGATGTATCAGTTAAATGCCATGAACTAGTTACGGTGTTGTAAAGTTCAACAATTGGGACTGAATACTAGGTGACTGGCCACCAGTTCTCTAATATGTCTGAGGTTGTCAGATCTGTTCCTTGGTGATCATTGATGGGAGCCTGCTGGCTTCCATATCATCGAGGTAATGTTGTAATTTGCTTAGGAATCTGGACATAAGTATTGAGCAAGCGATACCTTTTTGAAAAGGTTACGCTTCTACTTCTCGGCTATGGGCCAATACCAACAAATTAACTGAAGAGTTCATCCCTTCTATAACTTGGGAGATACTGATTATGGAATCCACACTCAACAGATCTTCTTTAATAAGATTATCCATGTTCTCCCCTTTTTTGGAGAGGATAATTTTTAATTGATTTCAGAGGTGGGCCTGGTGACCCATAAGGGTTTCGATGCCAGTTAAAGGCAGCTGTTACCCCGGTGGCTGTTATGCCCATCCATTCAGCTACATCCCTTTTTACCCTTGGTGATATTACTGTCCCCATTTGCCCTCCCAAGACTGTACCCTTATTTCTTTGGACGAAATCTCGGAACATTTCTTCGCTCTGTAAATTATAAAGGTCCCTCTAAATAGGGTCACAAACGTCCGTGGGCAAAGACACATTAAAATGCAACATGATCGGTATATATTCGTTCACGATATTGGGATACAACACATCATATAAACGTTCAATCACACGTCCATTTGCTGGTCCTGTAATTAAAGTCGGACATGATGTGTTCTGTGAGGTGACCGGGATGATGAAAAACAATATTTCTGGGCCGTATGCATAGATTCCTTCTGGATCCTCCACTGAACAGTTGTAATAGCCCTCATAGCGATGAAAAACGTAAGGAAATATCAGGTCTCGCTCAGTCATGTTGTTGTATCCTCTGTGTGGACCCAACATCGGGACTCCCCACCTTCCAATAGATACGTTACCTGAAGTCATATTGTGTCTTTGGAAAATTATAGTGGAAGTGTCGTACCCGTCTGTATCGACGGTACAAGTGAGAGTTAACTGGCTTCCCAACTCTACCTGTATCAGTTGGTAAGGCTGATGGCGATCTGTACCGTAAACCGGTAAGATGGATCATTTCGACCCTCCATGCTGAAAACATATCCGAAGATGAGTATCCCATTGTAGTCATAATCATCAGTAATAGGATCATTTTCCCCTTATTTCGAGCGCATACCAATTCTCTGAAAATCAAGGATATATCTGTTAGTTTATCAGTTAGTGTAATGATTTCAATTGGTTAATATGATGCCATTCAGCTGTTTTGTCTCCCCTTTTTCCCGTATATTGGATCAAATATATGGAGGGGCTGATCTTGTCCACAATAGGGAACAGACCTTCCACTTTGGTGAGAATGGGTTTTCTCTATTACTGAAGTCCAACACCATGACCATGTCCACAATATTATACTCACATTCTCGTACTTTCTGATCAAAATACTTTTTCATTTGTTGTTTGTTTCTTCCCAAATGGTTAGTTACAAATTCATTTGTGTGTTGGATATTTACAAGCATTTTATCAACCTACGCTTCGCTGAAAGCCCCCTGTATGTTTGAGTTTCCTTCCATAGTTACGCCTGGGGAAGGGGGTTGGAGTAAGTGACCCGGTTGCCTCATTATTCTCCCTGTCATTGCCTGATACGGGGTCAAACCAGTGGCTGAATGTGTGGTTGATCTAAGCGCCATTAAACACATTGACAGCATTTGCACCCATTTGGGTGGGGTGATCTGCACAATTTTTTTTAATAGCATCTTAATAGTCCAGTTTCCCTGCTCCTCTACCCCTGAGGATTGAGGGTGGAATGCTATGTGTAACCGCTGTTTAATCCCCAATAGTTTGGTGAGGGTTTTAAAAACTTTTGCGGTGAAGTGGCTCCCTTGATCGCTATCGAGAACTATTGGTACTCCCCACCTGCAGATCACCTCACTCAATAGTATTCTTGCAACGGTAATTACTGTGGCAGCTCTGACAGGAAAGGCTTCGATCCATTTGGAAAATGTATCTAAATTAATCAGAGCATTTCTGTAGTTGCCTGGTGCAATGGGCAGGGGTCCGATAAAATCAATTTGAACATGTGTCCAGGGTCCTTCTGCCTCTGGGGCACCTTTTAACAGGGCATGATTGGCAGGTGGACCAGGATTATGCTGTAAGAAAACCAGACAACGGTTAGCGCGAGTGGTTATATCACTGTTGAGGGTGGGCCACCAAGTGGTGGAGCGTATTTTTGATATTGTTGAATTTACAGCCATATGTCCCCCAATTGGGTGAGAGTGGAATATTTCAAAGAAATCTTCTGCCATGTCAGGGGGAACGCACACCACACCAGGAATTTGTGGTAAAGGTGCCTTTACATATAACTCCCTGGTCTAACAATGATTGTACCATGTCACGGACATACGGGAGGCTTTCGAGTGGGACAGTATGCTGTTTCGCTGGTGCATGGGTTGTACCATTTATTTCCTCTTCCTGACCCATTCTCCCACAATCATATTTATGTCGAGCTACAACCTCATCGTATTTGATCAGTAATTGTGATACTTGTGCGTTATCGTGTTTGATGGGCTAGTACATCTCAGGCTTCTTTATAGCTGTTACGGCGAACACATCGGACACAATATGGTGTCCATCACTGCGGGTTAACGCCCTGCTTTCGGGAATACACAGGCATGAATTAGTGTAATCCACTATCATGGTGTTTTTCTGGAGAACGTCAGATCCTACGATGCCACGTTCCCAAGGTATGGCAATAGCAGCTGGCTGATCAATTTGGATGGTACTATGTATCTTGTTTCCCAGGTGATAGCAGTATTTGCTAATCTCACTCCCTCTTGGGTGGAACCATTGAATCCCGTAAGGGAAAACACATCTCCGGTTGCCCCACAAAATGTTTTGGGATGCTTTGAATGGAACAATGTAATGCTGGACCCTGTGTCCACTAACATTGTTTGCTCTTTGCCCCACGACAATGTAGCAGTTATAAGGGGTCTATTATCTAATGTTTTTTTAAAATGAATGGGAGTGGAATTCCGTTGAGTGAGGTTCACGGGAATTCGTACGGTCAATCTTTGGGGGGCTGTCTCGCATCAGTAAGAGGTCTCAATAACATTCACCTCTCCTTCTACTTCGTTCTCCGCGGGGGGAGCAGATGGACTGACCGAGACTGATTCTATTCTTGTCATTTTTAAACTTTTGATTATCCGTCACCTTCCAAGTGTTACTATAATAGCCAATTGGTCAAAGGGAATCTCGGCCAGCTTATCTATAAGCCCGGTGGGTATCTCAGGCTGCTTTTTATCCTGGCGTAGATTGGCCCTTCTATTCGGGCATTCTCTGGCCCAATGTCCCTCTTCCTGACAGATGTGGCAATTGGACCGACTGATTCCCCTCCAAGGACAAGATTGTCTTGACCCGGGCTGGTTTTTATTTTGATAATAAGAATGTCTTCTATTCTCATAATTAGGGAAAAAAGGCTCTCTGTTTTTGTTCTCTCTCTGACTCTTGGGTCCTTCTATCTCTTCAACCCAGATCAACCTTTTTAATCCCCCCTTACTTCCCTCAATCTTGGCCTCTCTATGTCTCAGGCGCTGATAATAAGCTCCGTCAGCAATTTTTATCAAATCCTCCCATTCCATGTCATCAGTTAATACTCCCGCTATGACTGATTCGATTTCAGGAATGAGTTTTTGGAGAAATGCCTCTCGGTATCTGTTTGACTTTTCTGCATCTTCTGAGCTCACTTCTTCCATTTGTATCTGTTTAAACAGCTCCACTAGCCTTTCATGAAACTCTACTGGGCTTTCGTCTCCTGTCTGCACTGCCTTCCCATATGTCTGGCTTATGTTCCAGGCTTTTCCTTTTGTTAGCATGGTCTTAACCGCCCCTAAAAACACAGTCCCACCTACTTCAGGCTTCAAACTATTCCGCTGCAAGCGCTTTTGTACTTTCAACTCGATCGCGCTTAACAGTATCCTTTTAAGGTCTTTTTCCTCCAATTCAAGGTGACAATCTCTAAACAGATTGTATTGCTGATTCAACTCAGTGGGACAAGTGCGTTCTTTGATCGTGCCGAACTGTTGCACATAAGCCACTACTTCCTCGGGTCTTAGTGCCCGTCTATTTGTCTACTCCTTATCGGTGGTACCAGAGGCATTATCACTAGAAGACGCCTCTTGCTGGTCTTCCCCATCAGACACCTGACCCCTCGTCTGCATTGGGTGAACCCGGCTCCGAGTAGTAGTGATGACCGCTACTGACTTTCCTGATTCTTCCTCCCACATATCCGAATATATTTTATCTACTTTGTCTATGGCCGTTTGACATTTCAATTATTCCCAATTGTTCCCTCTGTCCTAATGGCGCAAACCATCGCCTGCTTGCCCATTAGCATCTCCTTTAGTTTCTCTATTTCTTTCCCACATTGAGTGTGGTCTATCTCAGTGGCTGAAGGTCGGTTAATTAAGGTGTTAACTGCTCCATTGGCTGCATTCAACTGGATGCTCATAGTCTCACACTTCTGACTATCCTGCAGCGCTATTCTCCTTTCTTCATGCTGTTCTCTTCCTAGCTTGGCTCGGCTGATTTCACCTTGCATTATGTGTAGGGTGGAGGTTAATTCTATTATCTTTCTTTCCTGATTCTCACATACTCTTTCCATGCTCCATAATTCTTCCTCCATGTCCTTTTTGTCTGACAAAGTGATCTTTAAACCCTTTTAGTATTTCTGTCGAGCTGTTTTGTTTTATTTTCATATCCTCTATTTCCTGGTCCTTACTGTCTTGTAATTGTTTGGTTTTAAGTTTCAGATCCTCTATCTCCGTATCCTTATAATCTCGTAGTTGTTTTAACTCCAAGGCTTTACACTTGTATTCCCTCAACATCCAGTATTTAAAAAAGTTTTTACATCATTTTCCCCCAATTTTGATGTTACCTACTAACTTCTTCCTCTAACCATTCTATACCATTTTTCTGGCTCGTTTCCTCATGTATGTCCTCTATTTTTAGGCCTGTTTTCTTGCATATTTTCTCCTCATATTTATTCAGCCATTGTTGTAAATTATCTTACAATTTTCACTCTTTCTTGTCAGTCATCTCGACAACAGAATACCCGAGATACCAACAACCACAAGAGCGTGATCCACTAAGTGTGCTACTATGTGTGAGTGCGTTTGTCTATCACTTCGAATAAAAAAAAGCCTTGTTGCTTGTCGGGTCCCTTCGTGGTGACCAATTTGTTGGGATTTCCGATCCCGTAGTTCGAAATATGACCTGACAATCCAAAATGGTGCAATAATTATTTTATCATAAGACAGTGTGTAAAGAAGAGCATACTACCGGTTAATCTGCGTAGAACAAAAGTAGAAGAAGATTTCTTGGCTGTCGTCCTGCTCTTGCCCTGGTTTCTCTGGTGTGAAAAACCTTACTTCCCTCCTGCCAGTCAGGTCAACTGACTTCTCACTCTTTTTCTCCACTAATTATACCCCTTTCTGAACTCTTGCCAGATACCTTTACCCCCCTTACCACTCGTCCTGCATGTACTCATCCTGATCAATCATTGGCCTGGCGCCAGCCCACCGGTATTGATAAAGTGAGTCTCCATTTTCTTGTCTATTCCTTATCTTCCTAGACCTAACACTTGATGTTTTGCAGACCTTTCCTCCAAGTCTAGCTGGTACCCAAGGTTACAATAACACTTAGCAAAGTGCATCTAGAGAGAGGGGAGATAACGGGTGCCATGGTTCTAGCCTGTGCCACATACCATAATGTCATGTCATAATGTCAAAGAAAACCAGTAAATTTAGATTGTCAAAACCCCCCATTCATGAACCCATATTAGCTATCATTTCAAGCTTAATTTCTGCCTTAGTTCTCTATGATTTTTGTTTTAATAATTTTACCCACAATGGACGTCAAATTTACTAGAGGTCAAATTTACTTTCTAACAAAACTTTAGCTTGCTGTTAACCCATCGTCCCACTCAAGTACTCAGCAGGGGGTAGTGTTGCTCTACAAATCAGGGGGTGTCTACACCTTGGGAATCTGTTGTGTTGACTTTCTGTTAAACTCTATCCTATGCTCTGAATGTATTTGTAGCATTATAGTCTTAAACAGAACTTTGTCTAGGTCTATGGTGACAGAGGGTTGGAACGCTTTTTTGAATGTGCCTCTGTATAGAGAGTGGGTATGGACCATGGTACAGATATATGACTCCTATACTGTATTTGTGCTGTCCATGTGGAACAAGAAGTAAGAATGATTTGTGATCCTTGATTATATTCAAGAATTATATTGCTGATTCTTAAATGTGGTATAAATTGTCAAAAGATATCACAATGGATGCCTTACATTGAGATTGTGTCAGGCTGCTCAGTTGATACCATTCACACCTCTGGATCTTAAAGATGTGAGTTGAGTTCCCATGTAGGGTGGTGGAAGTCATGGAGTCTGACATTCAGTGTAGTGCTGCGGGTGCCATCCTTTGTATGAGATGTTCAATTGGTCTTTGATTTTATCCTTAAGTCTCCATAATTATACCCACAATTGTGGAGTCCTGTAGCTCGGTGGTTAGAGCACTCGCTTTGCTAGCGAGAGGCCTGGGTTTGATTCCTGGCAGGGTGAAACCTTGAGCAAGTTTCTTTACTCCACACGCCTGATAATAATCCCTCCAAAAAAAAATAATAAATTGGTCATTTCAATCCACGACTGTTTGTGTGACATTGCTGTACGTAATTGGCAGCCACATTTTGACCACAAATATACAGACCATTCACTTTACAGTTTATTCTGTCAAGAGCATTGAAACATCTAGACGATGTAAAAAGCCCTATATTAAATGCAAGGATTATTATTAATATTAATGGATGTCAAATTTACTGGTCTTGTATCCTGGGTCACTTTTGCTACCTTTCTTACAAATAGCAGTAACATCTCCCTTTCTCCAGTCCGTGGCACGCTCCAGGGTTCAGTAATTTGTGCCAGTGTTTCTGCAAATTACTCCCTTAGTTCCTTAAAGATCCTTGGATGCAATTTATCTGGCCTCTGATATTTATTAACTATAAGTTTGTGTAGCTGTTTGGCAACCATGCTGTTAGTGATGTGAATCATATTGCAACTTTCCTCTGTGACATCCTTGAGTTCCCTTTCCGGATCAGATTGGTTACCTGTCTGCTCCTTAGTAAAAACTGAAACAAAGAACTTATTTAGCACTATTGCAGCCTGTGCAGCAATAATTGTCATGTCCTCTCATGATCCCACCTTGAGTGACCATATTCCATCTCTTGCTTTCTTTTTCTCTTGAAGTATCTGAAAAACTTTTTGTCATTATCCTTCACATCTCTTACCATGTTCAAATCAAAGTTTTCTATGCCATTCTGATTCCCCTTTTTCTTACAATCCTGGCATATCTTCTGGTATTGAATCTGACATAATTCTGTGCCGTGTTCCTTCATTGGCCTTAAATGCTTTTTTCCTCTTGATGAGTTGCTTTGTAGCCCCGTCCAACCATCCTTTAAGCGTGATACTTTTGCTTCCCATGGTTACACATTGTTCCATTACCTTCATAATCACCTCCTTGAAGGAACTCCATAGTTCCTCCACTCGTTTTGCCACATTTAAGACTGCCAGGCACACTCTGACAAGACTTCTCAAGCGCACAAAGTTGGTCCTCTTGAGATTTGGCAGTATTGTTTGGATTTTTATCACCTTACTTTGTCGAGCCAAGCTGTCCAGCGGCATGCTTCCGCCTCTTGCCCGGGCTGCTGATTTAGATTTTTTTGTGAAGTGGTGTGACTGTGTATTGGTAGACGAATTCTGCATTTCAATTATGCACACCAATAGCCCACAAGCAGCCACAAAACGTCCAATTTTATTTGGTCAGAACACCAGGAGAAACTCCATTCCCTTTTCAAAGTTGTGCCAAACAGGCAGATTGGATCTCAATTGAATGTCTCATCCAAGAATTCCACGCACTTGCACACTGCCCTGGAGTATGATTTTAGACTGCCTTCTGACTCAGAGATGAGAGTGCTACCAACTGGAGGTTATGGAAAAATAAGCCACTCTTGTTTGCCATCCAAGCCCCATTCTCTCCTGTTTAAGTACCCATGGCACTACATGCATTGAAGGATGCTATACAAATACAAGTTGTTGTTGAATAGCCTTATTGAATTTTTAGTTTGCAACTTATCTTGATGTTGCCAGTCATTAAGATATTTCAGTCTCTCTAATCTGAGCCAAATGTTTTTAGCAACGTTAGCCTTTTCAAAATCCTGTCGCAGATTTAGTGGGGAGCAAGACCACGGAGGGCTTTGAAGGTGAGGAGCAGGATCTTGAATGGTATCCACTATGTGATGGGAAGCAAGTGGAGTCGGGCGAGGATAGGGGTGATAGGGACAAGGAGCCTGTTTCGGGAGAGGACACAGCGTGCAGAGTTCTGGATGATCTGCAGCCTATGGAAAGAGGAGTTGGGGAGGCCGACAAGCATAGTCAAGCCTCAATGTAATGAAAGCACGTGTGAGGAATTTGGTGGCCTGCGGTGTGAGACAGTGGCAGAGCTGGGTGACGTTGCATAGGTGGGAGAAGGCAGAGCGGGTCATGGCACAGATGTGAGTAGAAAGGATAGTTGAGGGTCAAACAAGACGCCAATGGTCCGGACTGGTTTAGTAAGGTGGAATGTTCAACCATGGATGGTGATGCGGTCGGCGCTGACAGGAGCCAATCAGGAGGGCCTCGGTCTTGTTGACGTTCAACTAAAGAAAATTGGCTCTCATCCAGGGCTTGATGTTTGGCAGACATTCTATCAGGACAGCAGTGGTCCTGGAGTCAAGGGTGGAGGCAGAAAGGTACTGTTAGTTGTTATCCGCATACATGT